ATCCGTCGATCCAACTCTTTTGTGCTTCAAAATGTCTTTACTTGTTGAGAAAATGTGCTCTACAGCTTCACTCCAGGGAATAACCGCATTGAAGTAAATGAAGAGAGATTTAAAAGCTTGTGAAGGGTTTGTTTGTTTTGTAATTAAGCACAAAGCTACACAATGGGCTATCTGTGCTCTGCCCACCACGGGTATCGAAACCCGGATTCTAGCGTTGTAAGTCCGCAGACATACCGCTGTGCCACTGGGGGCCTTGTGAAAGGAACAAACTTGATTCTATATATATTTTGAAGATGTTTCTTTGTTCAGGAACTGTTACTTGATCGTTGTTACTTTGGGACGAATTACTTGCAGATTTTGCTTGTTGTTTAAAGCACATGAAAAAGACTTCTTCGTCATCTTCCTCGGTGCTCGAAAATGACGAAAAATCACTTAAATCAGCATTTGTTGAACTTTCATCATCGCCGCCTTCCCTCTTCTCTGAAGGTTTTTAGTCATAATTTATTTAACAGTTTCTTTCTTAGCATTCGAAGTAATTCAAACCAGTGAATTAAAAACAGCTGCGAGGAAGTGATTCTCATTGACAAAGGCAGCTTCAAAGCGCTTCTCAATGACCAAATCAGTTACAAGTGCATTTATATGACATTGGTTAACCCTCCCGGCACTAGCAGTAATGAATAGTCCAAGAGTTGTTTGTTCTGCTTCATTGTTCTCAGTTTTTCTCTTACTAGAAGTATAAGCCTCTGTCTCTGCTGCTTCAACTGACTGCTTGACCCGTTTACCTCCGTTCCTCTCTCTTGATGCACGATTCAAAATCCTTGAGTTTATGGGAATGTTTGTAATTAACGTGTTTCTTTATATGAAAAAACTGAGTTCTTATTATTGGCACTGTAAATATTCGTTTGGGGACTGGGATCCACTTGCACTTTCACTTCCAACAAATTCAAAATAGTCTTTTATGTAAGACCAAGGAGTCTTTTTACTGGAGTCCATTTTATGATATACATGGCGACACAACCTCGCGCTAGATGTCGCTTTGATGGAATGACGAACGGAAATAAGGAGAAATGATGCCTGGTTGCCCTAGAGAACAAGTTCAATCCTGACCCAACAAGTTCACGACAGCAACTACATCCCATAACACGTTTGATTGTTTTTCATAAGCAAATGAAGTGCAATTATAATCATATACAATAGTCTTTACCTTAGTAGCCATACAGTATGAAGCTGTAATGGTTTCTATTAGTCTAAGCTTTAACAGTTGTGTTCCATAAAGTATGAAACTGTAGCGTTTCTGTTAGTTTAAATTTTGACAGCTATATTCCATAAAGTATAAACTGTGGTGTTTCTGTTAGTCTAATTTGCAGGTGTGCTATATAAAGTATGAAATTGTAGTGTCTTTTTTAGTTTAAACTTTGACAGCTGTATTACATAAAGTATGTAACTGTGGTGTGTCTGTCAGTCTAACTTGCAGCTGTGGTTTATAAGGTACGAAACTGTAGCGTTTCTGTTAGTTTAAAACTACTGCTTCTCAACTGGGTGAATGGGTCACCTAGGGGTTAACGAAATCAGAATCAGGGTGAATGAGTCTTATCAATTATACAACAAATTCAAGAACAAAAAGTCATTAGTTATTATTATTTATTCTAGTTGTAGTTTGATAACTACATTTATTTTTTGTCTATTTTATGTTGTATTCCTTCTAGTT